AAAAAAAAAAAAAAAAAAAAGAAAGAAAAAAACAACGAGCGAGAGAGAGAGAGGTTATCGTAAATGATATACGTCACTTTGCTCGACAGATAGTCGTAATTGAGAATGGAATCGCGATCAAGCCCCCCGTGAAAATCTCAAAACTATTGATAAAAGAGAGAGAGAGAGAGGAGGGAGAAAAAAGATTAATTGGAAGGTCGCGAAATCGAACGCGTCTCCTCATTGTCGTGATTGACAATGAGGATAAAGAGAGAGAGAGAGAGAGAGAGAGAGAGAGAGAGAGAGAGAGAGAGAAGGAGAGAGAATTAAAAAAGAGAGAAAGAGAGAGGAGACGCGAGTCTAGCGCGCGATAATCTAGCAGGGGAGGGAAGAAAGAGGCGCGTGAAGAAAGAGGGAAAGAATGGGCGAACGTCTGGAGCCAAGCTGGCTGCACGAGAAGGGGCTCGACACCGCGTCTACGAACCGAACTTGATTAGGTGGGGACAGCTGAGCTTATAAGACACCAGAGCACCAACCTTCGAGACTAATAGTCGCGAAACGGTGAATGTGTAGTGAACCACCTAGCCTTCACGCTTCTCGCGAAACAATTGACAACAATAATAATAAAAAACAGCGATAATAATAATAAAAAAAAAATAATAATAAAGAAACAACAAAACGTTCATTTTTCCTTCGAAAAGAATCACCAACGAAAAGTGACGAGATCATCAGTGATAACGTTGGATGATATCACGAGACGATAAATCGTTTTCAATCGAGCTTTTTTCCCCCGTGACTGAGGACACAAAATCGAAACATCGGGAAAAGGAAAAAACATACCAACCGAGAGACTTTCAAACAGTCGAGTAAGTATATACATACATATATATATATACGTACACACACGAAAATATACACAATTCGTTTGTCGAGATAGAAAAATGGATGATCGAGAAATATTCATAAACCGATCATCGTCGACTCGTTTCATAATAAAATAAACATCGAGGATGCCAATAAATCGAATCAATTCAAACAATCCGGAAAACGAATCTTATTAATTTGACGAAAAAATAATCTTCGTTCGATTCATTATATTAACTGAGCGATCGAAGTTGAACTCACCACCTTCGGATCCTTTGCTGAACATTCTTTTCACGACGGCCGTTTTCTCGGTGTACGCGTCCACTCTTGCCACATCGTTGCAAACCCGTCGAAATTCTTCGAACGAATCGTCTCTCGTTGTCCTTTTCTCCGGGCTCCTGGTCGCCGAGGAGCTATCCGTTCCTTCCTCCTCGCTCGAATCCTTCTCCTTCTCCTTCTTTTTCTCCTTCTCTTTCTCCTTCTTCTTCTCTTTCTCTTTCTTCGTTTTTTTGCTCGGAGAAGGATCGGATTCCGTGCCAATCTCACTTTTACGCTTTCTCGCTTCCACCCCTTTCCCCTTAGGAGTGTGATCTGGAGAAAAAAAAAACATTTCGATAAACAAATTATACAATTTGTATATTCTCGAATTAAATTTTCAATATTGTTGTACATTGATATTGTACGTTTTTAAATTAATAATCGATAGAATTAAAAAATTCGTTCGTGTTTTCTATCGCGACGCGATAAACGATAGAGATATTTTCGAATTTCTTTATCGACCGAATCGGTATACATTCTTACATTAACTATTTAATTCGAGGAGAGAAAAATGAAACGAGAAAGGCTCTCTCTCGGGCGTGGAATTTCTTTATCGACCGGTCCTTCGGTATTTACTCGTAAGTCAACCGTTTAATTCGAAAGAAAGATGAAAAACGAGAAAGTCTCTCTCTCTCGTCTGTCGGGCGTCGAGATCACCGACGGAAAGGAGAGAGAAAGAAGATTCTTACTTTTCGAATCCTTTTCGAACTCTTCGATCATACGAAGCACGATCGCCTTGTCCTCCTTGCTCAGATCTTCCCACCCGCTCACGTCCTCCGCGGGATCGTCTATCCTCTTGGTGGTGGCCCTCTGTTTGGCAAATACCTCGAACAGGCAGGTCAAGTGATGCCACGCTTTCATCTTGCCATCCGTGAACGGATTCGCGACCAATTTCGCGATTCTCACCGTGTCCTTCTCTATCGGACATTTGCACTTCTTGCATTTGGCCCGCCCGCTTTTCGCCCTCTCCACTGCGAACGGCTTCTCCTCGTCGTTCGACATCCTCCTTCGCTCCTCCTCTTCCCGGAAAGCAAACCTGGAAAGCATTAATTGATAAAATCTACGTGTCTATCTATCTATTCTTCCTCCTTTTTTTTCCAAATTGAAAGTAGAGAGACGAATTGACATTGAAAGGAATCGCATGGAAAAAAAATGTTCGATCCGTGTTTCGAGCGTCGAGGAGTGCAGGTAAACGGTTCACGGGACGTGAATGGTTAGTGGTCCGCGTCAAGGATCGGGCGGACGCGACGCTCTTTGAAACTCTCGATAAGATCAAGGAGGCAAGATTCGTCGTAACAAATAATACTAATAATAGAGAGAGAGAGAGAGATTTGTGGAGAGGGATGTTGGTGTATATATACGTTTGACATTTCCAGTCCAATTGCATTTAATCTTAAAGGAGGAATTCGCACCGATCTTATGAATCCTACTACGTTGATTCCCCTTGCAAAGCGAGAATTCGCATAGAGAACAATTCCTCAATTACTTGTCTGC